GCTTCTTGCGCGAAAGCGAGATGTCGCCTTTCACAGCCGGCGAAGATGCAAGGTTCGATGGACGACAACTATCACGATCATCACGACCCCAACAAACCCAATCAATCGCTGCGAATGCTGACGACAGACACAGCGCAACCACGATACTAACGATCCTTGTTATTCTTGTCATTGTATCGCATTTAGCAAAGGTAGGAGGGTCTAGGAATGATGCCTGCCATGAGGAATGCGCCGATGCCCCCGGCATTATTATTGAATGTAACCATCTTCTATGCGTCACCAAAACTGTGAGGGTCCAAGGGCAGCAACTATCGCGAGAATTGCAAACCAGACACGCCGATCTGTGTCATCTTTGATAACTTGTCTCTCACGAAGTAGAACCAAGTGTCCGAAACCAAGAACTGTGATGACCGCAGCCCCGACACCTTCACAGATGTGTAACACGGTGGAGGCTTGCAAACTGCACAATCGTATGAGCTTCCGAAGTCAAGCGAAGAAGGCCACTCGGGCAGCGAAGGCAGAACCAGCAGAGAAGGCGAAGATGCTGGCTGTGCCGAGGAAGGTCAAGCTGCAAGGCTAGGCTAGGTGTGTTGGGGATTGCCTAGCTATCAGGAAGAGTGTCTTTGCTCTGGCACATCGGATGCACTTGAAACATGAAACACTGTAAGCGCATGTGCTCTTTCATGTGGGAAGCGCTGGACTGGGACCATGGACGTTGCTCTCCGCGCTCTTCACGTCGGATGCACTGGAACGTGCAAACAAGAAGTTCCGTCTCAAACTGGGCTGCAGGCTTCGCGAAGCACCATTGTCATCACCATGCTGATGATGATGATGATGGTGATGATGATGGTGGTGATGGTGATTGTAAAATGGTCTTCTTTTTCTCTCCGTCACAAACACTTATGCACCATCATTCATGGTCATCATAGGGGAGGCAAGGCCCAGTCCGGCAAACAGAGCACCACGACTCGACGACTGACCCATGTCCCGCCGAAGGGAGCAAGTGAGCCTGAATTTAAGTCCCGGGGTTCAGGAGTTATGTGTTCCCCTGACAGTGCGAACAACACTGTCGGTTCGAAAGACATTAAGGGGTGGTTGCTTTGTTTAAAATTTTCTTGCACCAATCACTGACCGTGAGTCTGAGAAGGCCGAATAATTGCGCGTAAGGATTGGGGCCTCGGGGACGGAGGGCTAGAGGGATGCATGGCACACGGGTTGAGGCTGAAGGCTTGAAACTCTCACGAACCGATGTTCAGAGGAAATTTGTAGTTTTAATACAATCTATGAGCATGAAGCCATAAAGTCGGTCCATAGCCCGGAACAATCCCCCGCATTGATTGGAACGCAGACCCTCCTTCAAAGTATTCACACCGGCTTGTTCTACCAGTAACCATCAATGAACATTGGCCGTTTTCGGGATCGGTCAGCACAGCGTTGGTCCTGCACATATCTTTGCAATTGCTTGTGGATCAACAGCCCATGAAGGCGTTGTGGCAGATGGAAACTAGGCAGATCGTTTGTTACCCTCTCCAAGCAAGGAGAATGACGGTGACGGCTTCGATCCCGGCGATGTTGGCACTCGAGACTACGATGATGCGACAGACCAATCTGGAAAGAGGCATGCACCCAGGGCCGGCAACTGGGATGGGCGACAGCACCTTGGATTTTTGGGTAGGGTGGTAGACAAGGTTTGACAGATTTGGCATCATCGCTTGAATGTTCCAAGCGCACATTGAAACCAGTCTCGGTGTGCAATACCCCAACCCCCAAAGACCTTGGACTCCAGACCCCAATTCCCGAGGCACATTGGTGAAGGTCCTTGGGATGGTGGTTCTGGTGGAACTGGAACTGCTGCTCTGCACAAGCTCCACAGCCATGGCAGGTTTCCAGGGTTCCCCACTGTTCACACGTCATCGGTCCGAGCAACAGTTTTTAAGGCTCGTCAGGCGCTTTGTGTTTGAGGGGGGTGGTTTCGTGTCAGACAACATTGATCCATCGATATTTTCGACGGCCCCCAAGATCTCCCAGCCCCACTGAGTCTATCGTCTGCAAGTAGCTGGTTGTTCATTTTGGTTGATTTTTGAGGCTGGCATTGGTGGCCGCGCCGGGCCCTACCGCTTGGATGTAGGGCAGGAGCTTGTGATGCTCACGGAAGAGCAGAAAGAGGAGGTCTCAGAAGAATGGCACAACAAGGCCATGGTGATTCCCCCACCTGAAACCTGAATCGTGGCTTTGCCGAGAGCTCTCGGAAGTGCTGAGTGAGAAGCCGTATACCTAGCACATCCCACACGCTCGTCTGAAGGCCCGGCAGATGGCAGATGAGGCATATGCACACCGGTTGAGCGAGTTGAAGATGAGCGCCCACGACGAGTCTGAGCGGCCCGATGATTATACAGAATTGAATCTTCGACCGAGTTCTGAATTTCCGCAGCCGGCTGACAGATGCAATTTGTAAAGGCACTCAGCCTTCTGGTATCGTATTATGTGTCGCTTGCATCTCCGCGGAGTGCTTCGCGGTGTCTTACTTAGATTATCCTGTTAGACCTCAACTGAGATGAGATCCGCAGAAGCCAGAAGCCTCAGGTACCGTCGCTTGCTTCAGCCTGTGGAGGCACAAATCTCTGCATTCCGGTTGGTGCTCCAAAGCCACGAGGCGGCGCTCTGTTCCTTTCAACTGCACCTTTCCGGTGACAGCTGCATTGCATGGAAGCCAAATTGTCTCAGCCGCGGAGGGGATTGGAGTATTTGAAGGGTCACACCCCACAAAAGCCAGTGAAATAGTGGGGGATGCTGGCCACATCTCAGCGCAGGCAAATGATGGAGTAGTGAGCTGCTGCTGCTGCTGCTGCTGCTGCTGCTGTTGCCTGCATTCTGTACCCAAAACCAGGCACAGGGCCAAGGCGAGTGAGTGAGCCTGTGAGGTGATACTCGCAGGCCAAGCCTGCGTGCTGCATGCTTAGCCGGCTTAGCCTTAGCCCTTCAAACGACCCAGGCGAAGGAGCGAGAGCGAAGTTGGCAGAAGCAGCAGACCCAGGCGCAGAAACGATTTGTTTGTGGTTCATCTGAAAGTCTCCTCAGTTCGAAACTCTTCCACAGCGTGTGCGAGCTGCACTCAGCCATGCTGAGCCTCAACCTGCTGCTGCTGCTTGAACTATACGTCTGACTCTTGCTAAATAAGAACGGCTCCACCCAAGAGCGAGTCTCGAACTAGTGGCTTCCCCCGAAAGTGCTCAGAAAGACGGATTTATACTCGCCTCTAGGACCGAGAGGCCCCGCCACATGGTACAGTGAATAACAACAGATGACACAAGCGCTTGGCTGGGCACCCAGGGTCATGTCACCTTGATGTCTCGCCGGGCTTGCAGCAGGGCGAACTGGACGAGATGCGCCTTGTGGACGGCATCGCAGGGGCTCGAAACATCTACAGGCCATGGATTTTTGACAGTCCTCGCAGTCCTCTTGATCTCAGTTGCAACCCTGAGCCTTGGCAGGCGCCGGGCCATGGCGGAAGAAACAGGAGGTGAGCAGGTGCTGCCGAAGCGCATTAAATTCGTGATGGACTGCAGCGGCTCCTTGGGCAAGTGAATCTTGTTTTGCCGGTGTGAAAGGTTAAGAGCTTCAAAAGGAATCCTTGGCCTCTGCTCATGGTTGAAGGGTCTTGAAAGGCTGGATAGCGGAGATCTTATCAAATTGCAAAGGAATTGGAATGGTGCCAAGACACATGTGTACAGCACTGCACTGTTGTGAATTGTTCAGGACCGTGTGAGTCCAAACGACGTGGATGCAAGGAATCTGGAATGTACGGCGAGCGAAATGTCTAAACAGAAGCTGGAGCAGCAGTGTGATCATGATTGTAATCCGCATCATCATCTATGCCTGCGCGAAGTCCAGAAGCTTCAGTTTCTTCTATCGTCAGTCATGACGGCCTGACACTAGCTCATGAAACTGCGCGTGGAGCGAAGTTTTGGGGCTGCCGCTCAGCTTGACCAGCTTTCGCTCTCTTCAGCCGAGGGTCTATGTATACTTTCAACCGCATCGATCAGCGCCTGCAGCGGTTAATGGAAGCCTCCATATTTATCTTCGAGAGTTTCGCTGGCTTCGAGTACAAATACGAGCACCTTGCAGATACTGGCATTGTATAGTTCTAGTAAAGCTGGCTGCTCACATCCATGCAAGGCTTCTGCATGCATTGCATTCTCATGAGCCGGGTTTCGTTTGGACATTGCCAAGACACGGGCGTTCTTCCTCCCTTCATTTTAAGGGAACCCCACTTCAGAGCAGCCCTAACACAGTACGGGCATGAAAGCAGGTATGCCATGGTGGGACACAGCGGAAGTGGCCCGGAAGCAGAAAGCCTCGTCGCATGGGCGAAGCCCCCGAAGAGTGCGAAGGACCATGGCCCTCACTGTGTCATGCCATGATGCATTTTCCCTCGCATCATGAGCAAGGAGCAGCTGGCCATCGTGAAGCAGATGGCGGCCCATGCGCCCCTTGCTGGCAGCTCAAACTTCGCATACTACTCATGGACAGAGACAGCTCATGGGGCTAGCGGTGGCTTCAGAAGTCTCCCACGTTGCACACAGACATAGCATGTAGCAGCTTGCTTGTACAGCCCATTTCTTCTGTGGAGCGTGACGAGTGCGCTGATTTCAAACTGTGTAATCATGCTGATCCATGGGCCGCTTAATAAGATCCCTCCGCTGCACTGTTGATAGGCAATATTCTCACAGTGGAGATCACACCCTGGAAGCTACCGACCGCGCCATCAAGGTTCCGACACAAACCGGCTTACTTATGGCCCGAAGACGCCCGAAGTATACTGTTTGTGTGCAGGACGTGCTGCGAAAGCCTGCGGATGAGTACTACGTATTTGTTGTGAGCGATGCCGACCTGGCGCGGTATGGGATCTCGCCTGCTGCCTGGAACAAGATCCTGATGCAGGAGACTGTTTCGTGCCTCCAATTGGAGGCTTCAGTTTTTTGTACTCTGAAGTCGTCGTGTACTAGTGGCCACTCGTACGATTCCGCGAGAGATCTATCATGGTTTGCTGGTGAGCAGAGTGTGTCACATGCCACGTGACCAGGACAAGCGGGTAAACGCTTACGTAATCCTCATCAGTTCCAACACCGACGAAGCGGAAACGATCAAGTCGGGATTGACTGCAGGACGCCGATCCTAGTCAGATGCGATTGCACGTGGCGGTTCCGTCTATAAGAACAGATACCGGCATGTGTTTCGATGTCAGATGTGATGCTGATGGCGGATATTGCAGCTGGTAACGACGGCGACCGCGAAGATGATGCTGATGATACGACGAAGGATAGTCGTCGCTTCGTCGCAGCAGCAGTAGTTGCATGTCCTGGGGGTGTGGCGTTTCCACGCGGTTCTGATGCTGATACTGGGAATAAGTTGTCGTCGTAATAGTCAGCCGTTCTGTCCTGGCTGATGGTCAGCAGATGTCGCAGTCCGGGTTTACGCCTATGCACTCAGACACTCTGGTGCAGGACATGGCTTCGTTTGTGATCATAATGACTTGTTGGCCGTGACTTTCAAGCAGGTCTTCTCAGTGACCATGCTCCGAAATCGAAAGTAGCTCTCCACTTTCGCGAATGTGGAGGGTAAGCAGGTAGACGCTGGGAGTCATAAACCCGAGCAGGAACCCGAGCCAAAGTCCGACATTCGTAGCGGCCGCAAACCTTCCACTCGTGATTCCAAATTAAGTCGTACAGCGGTCAATGGACACGGCTTAGAAAGCATGGAGGGACTGGCATCTCGCCTCAACCCTGCGAAGCTTGCCATTCGCATCCAGTATTGGAACGCGAAAAAAGATTGCACGCAGATCATGAGCTCCTACATTTGCGCGATGTCGCTTGTAGCTCGACCGGCTGGCCGCTCAAGACTCGACCTGCGAAGAGCTATCTGGTAGGGAGCTTCAGCCGCTTGAAAGAGAGAGGTCTAATCACCAGAGCCCTTGAGGAAAGGCTATGACATGGCCCGCCGTGAGGTTGATACGGTTCCTGCGGATGTCCGCAGCTGGATTCTTGATCAGGTGTTTCGGGAGCTCTCAAGCTACTTATGTGGTTGGCTCTTCAGATGGCATGATCCATGAATGCCTCTTCAACACAGTCGAACGCTTCCCTTGCTTTCATGGAAATAAAAGGCTTGGATATCATTTCTTGTGGTCATACTCTGACATTCGCTGCGGGACCCCTGCATCGATATCTTAGACCTGGTTCTGCCGCGCGGAGCCGCGGTGCTTTTGAACCGTTAAAAACTACCCCGGAGGCACCAGAAGCCCAACCCTAAAGATCCAACAGTCCAACGTGTCCGAAACCGATGTCGACCCATGCTTTCATCCACCGGGGTGGATGAATCCCATAAGCTCTCAACTGTAGCCATGCGACACACTTAGGGGTAATTTAAGGTGTCGGAGTCACAATCGATCTTTGCCTTATGACTCGTGAGGGCTTTTGAGTACGGCAGTCGTTTGACACATGCCTCCAACCATGTTCTATTTTCTTGCAGTGAGTAAGTGACAGTTTGAATTGGCAAAGAGGCTTCTTGTGATACTCGAAGGAGTACTTTTTGGCTTCCTCAGTTTTTGCAGCTAAAGCCCTTGCCCCTAAATCTGAAGCCGCACGGCCTCAAAGCTGAGTGCCTGAAGACCTTGAGTTCTCCTCGTCGTTATCGTCATCCCAGTTTGCTTGCAGGGCTAGGGGCTTTTGCTTTTGATTCAAGCTACTATTGCTTGTGGGTGCCGCCAGTGCTACTTATAGCGAAACCTATCGCACCGCCTTCAGAAGCAGAGGCATCGAAGAGCTTCCGCGCTCGCATATGCTTAGGTTTACTGTCACATCCTCCTCGTAGAGTAGAGTGGTGCCCAGTACGAGCACTGGATTTGCATGCAGTTACGGACTTTTCTGCTTAGAGTGCCGGAGTTTGCTATTTTGGCATGATGTGTAGCTTTGGCACGGCACCTTTGCTTTTGCTGTCCGTTGCTGGGCTTTCCGCAACGAAGCAGCGCTGTCGACGCACAGTGGAGTGTAAGGTCTAGGGCTGTAGGCCATTACAGGGTTCTTGCATTCAGAGTCGTTGTTTCAAACAGGGTCTTGGTGGGGTTTAGGGATTTGGCCTCACGTCATCGAGGACAAGCTCGAGGTTCACGTGATCTAGCAACTGACACCCATCTACCAGCTGTTGACCCACAGCCGGCCTTTTGGAACCCTTCTCCTCAAAGCCCAATTCAATGCAACACGCCGGGCACAAGGACTCGGCCAATGCCGCCTCAGCAACAAAAGAGTAGGAAGAGCTTTCAACATGTTTCAACGGGACTTCAAGATTTTCTGGGTTGTGAAGAATCAGCTTCTTTGATTCAGGGGTCCTCGGAAAGACGATTCTGCCATGTAGGGTTGCTTCATTTAGCATTCCGCTTCCGAGCCCTGTGCAGATACGTGAGCCTGGAATTTTGGTGCGGTGGAAGTTGCAGCGCATGCTGTGCACGCTGTCTCTGCTGCCCAGAAGCTCAAGACCGAACCGTATCAGTTTAGAAGCAGCTGTGGTGGTCCACACCATGTGCGGCGGAAATTTCCTCCGCTTTGCACTCACTCTTTCTTTCTTGGGCCTTGGTGTCGGGCGTGGCGAGCGCTCAGAGCCGGCGGAGGAGAGGGCTGTCATTACGCTTCTGCAGCAAAAACTCGTCCTGTCCCAAATGCACAGCCAAAGTCCCGAAGAACGTCTGCACGATGCAGAGCCAATGTCTTGGTTGCATTTTCCCAAGGCTGGTAGCTCCTTCATCAATGCAATGATCCATTTGCCGGGTGTATGTCCCGGCATGGACAACAGGACCCTGGGTCATGACTTACTCGGAGACTGCTGGCTGACGAAATGGAATGCTGCTGTTTGTCCCAATGCTTGTGACCCTGCCGCGTTTGTATGCCCAGAGCATCCGTTCTATGAGAAGCATCCTACGATAAGCAACTACTCTGCGCAGCGTGGGAAGCTGATGGCGATGTTCCGTGATCCTGACCAGCGCATACTTTCCGGCTACCATGATGATGACAACAATTTAGCCGCCATAGACTATGCCGACTACCTGGAGGAAGACTTGCGAATCCAGAACTGTACATATTTCGGATCGGACGTGCCCAAGCGAAATTTGCTGGACTTCGCTGAATCGTGGAAGGGCGGTATGGCCTACCAGATTGTGACTGAGCATCCGGTCACACAAACACTGCATCCAAACCGTCCGAGCACGACTCGGGACCAGGCGGAGGAGGCAGCTCGCAGGGTACGAGAAGGCTTTGCTTTCGTTGGCATCAGTGAAGAGTGGGACTTGTCAATCTGCCTCTTTCACAAAATGTTTGGGGGAGTCTGCGAAGCTAGTAATTTTGTGGATACGCGACCAAGCTCTGATGGAAAATCTGCAGACTCGGACTACGACACCTCGGTACTGATGGGCTGGCATGACGACCTCGATGAATTAGTTTACGAAGCAGCCCTCAGTGTATTCCGCAAAAGCCTGATCAGCTTCAATGTGTCCCATGAAACGTGCCAGGAATGCTACCGCCACGCAGGATTTGAGGTTTAGCTGGATGCAGTTTCAGAATTTCGCAGAGATGCCCGTGCTCTGCACGGACGTCGAACTCACCCGCAGATAGCGCTTGGAAAACAGATCGCTCCGAGAGTTTCGTTCGGGCATATTGGCTTGTGGATCTTCATCAGGCTTGTTGCAAACACCAGGAATCGTGGCAGCCCTTTTTGGGCCAAACTCGTCGGTGGGCGAGGTCACTACGATCACAGGATGTGGTAACATGTCATAACAGTCACGAGTATCATTACCATACTCCGCAGCCTTACAAGACATGTTGCCGCCCAGTCGTTTGTCTCTTCCGAATTCAGAGCAGAGCAGCCAGTCGAGCGAGAGCCGTATGAGCCGTGAAATGTCAATCTCGAACTTGTAAAGCCAGGCCACGCAAGAGGTTCTGTACTGCCGTAAACATTGTCATGGGACAGCATGGGTATGGAAAATCTCAGACGGAGATGCTGTGTTGTATGGCTTGTACATTTGGTGAAATGTAGCTGAGAATTTGCCGTGACGAAGAAGTTCGCAATCGCGATGCTCAGAGCATGTACAGCTACAAGACACAAGACGGACGCGTTCCAGAGCCACACAAGTACTTTCAGCACCGACAAGGCTACCAGCCATGTCAGAGAAACCTTGCAAAATCGCCACGATAGCCTTGAAGAGATCAGGGTAGACGGGAAGGAAGGTCTGTGCCTGGCATGGCGAGACTTGCATCAGCTGCTCTCCGTCTTGCGCCTCGATTGGAATTCTTGCCTTCCACCGAACAGCCCCCTAAGTACCCTCAAAAAGCCCGGACTGCTTTAGTAGATTCCAAGCGTGTGCCACGGTCCGTGCGGGGATATCAGGCTCTTTCGAGTCGATCTTGGCCTGGGTCCGCATCTGAGACTGAGTGAGGGTCACTGCCGTACTTTACGAGCACCAGGAATCGGGGGACCAAGTAGGACCAACAGTACGACCAACCTTGAGAGCAAAAACACCAAGGTCAGAAGGTTTTGTCGGTAGCATTGCTGCTGAGACTTAGACGCCACTCTTGATGATTTAGGTGTTACCATAAGGACTAGCAACAATCATCTTGCAACCGTAGTCATCGCCGTGGACTGCGAATGTTGGCGACAATCGATGTCAAGTGGAGTTCTATCCAGGACATCCCTCTTTACAGTTGATCATGCCGAGGGTTTAAGATTCAAGGCTCCGCAGATACAACAAGGAGGCACTCCCTTGCCTCACCCCGAAACATAACACAGAACTGTGGCAGTGCCGCATGCTATGTCTTTCGGCGCAGTGCTATCGCTCCTGGCCGCCTCATCCTAAACCACAGCCACTGAAAACAGTCCCACGTAACCTAAGCTCCATGTGTTGCTTCGGCTTCAGCCAGGGTTTTCGCTGTTTGGGTATGTTGCCCTGTGCGACTGCGACCATTGCATATATATATATATATGTACGTATGTGTATATATATATATACATGTATGTGTATATATGTGTATATATATATATACATGTATTTATTTATTCATTCATTTATGTATTTATTAAGTTGTTTGCTTACTTACCTTTGTCATTATATGTTTGTTTTAATACACATTCATTTATGTGTTGTTTATTTAAACTCGTCTTTGTACTTATTTTTCTACATTTGTGAGAGGCTTTGAAGTCAGGGGTCAAAATGCAAGACAAGCCTGTCATTCTTGACATAAGATTGTGAAGTTTGTGGTTTTCTGAATCAGGGGTGCATGAGAAAACCTGTGACAAGCTGCAGGTTTCTTCATGGGAGGTTCTTGTCTTTGAGGGCAGGGGTTCCTGATGCCGCCTCTTGCACATGCGGCGATTTTATGTAACGTGTGCTTGGAGTGCGTTGGGATTGGGATTCGGGCTTGGGGCCTTCGAACTTTTGCGACGTAGGAGAGTGTTGATTCGGCAAAGCCTGTTTCGTTGCTGTCACAGGTCATCACGTTCAAGACAATTAGGGTTGCTTTATTGCCGGCTGCATCCCGGAGCCATACGCTTATCTAAGCGAGCAGAGACAGGAGATCACAGGGCACTCTTGCTTTCCTGCTAAGATGGTCCTCGATCCATGCGGATTCATTGTTGAGGTGTTCTCCGAGATGCACGAGTGTGGAACTCTGGGATCTGAATCCCTGAGCCTTACATGCCGTCAGGGTACCAAGAGAGTCCATAAATACACAATTCTCGAAACACCAACCCTCAACTCCGAGGTTCAAAGCAACAAAGGCACCTGGATCAGCTAGAAGCCGCAAGAACTCGATAACTCCATGTCGTTTCACTTTGCTAGCGCTCTCAACCCCGCACCCTGAATCCTGAATTTCGCCATACCCTAAATCAACCCGCTCAGAGCATTGCATTTCAAAGTGTTAGGATGATGATAGCCAGAAGCCTCTTGCTTTTCGTTTTAGGGTTTCGCTTCGATGGTTTCAGGTTGAAGAAATGATTCTGGTTTGGGGTCGAGGCTTTGGCTTCCGGGCGAAACATGTCAAAATCCGCTTGTGATTCCTTTCCAACCCTGTAAAACAACACTGTACTGGCGGTGCAACACAGGTGAGGCCCTGTAGACCTGCAAACCCTCCTTGAAAAAAACCTTGTAAATGCGAAGTTTGTTTTTGTTGTTACAAAACATTTATTCAATCTTGCACCGTACCCTAAACACATAATTTCTTCAATTTAAACGTGCGCAACCGTGTAAGTCCTGGCTTTGGGTTTAGGGCTTAGGGTGTTAGGGCGTTAGGATGTTAGGGTGTTAGGATGTTAGGATGTCTGGGCGCGAGGGTGTTAGGGTGCTAGGGTGCTAGGTTGCGAGGGTGCTACGGTGCTAAGGTGCTACAGGGTGTCAGGGTGTTAATGTGCTGGGGTGTTAGGGTGTGAGGGTGTTGGGGTTTAATAGCTTTATGGGTTTATGGGTTTATGGGGTTAGGGTTTAGGGTCCGGGGTTTAGGGTTTGGGTTTAGGGTTGACTGCCCTGAAGCCGAGGGTTGGCAGGGCTCTTGTTAAAAGAATTTTTGTCAGCTACCATGATAGGGATCTATAGTAGATAATATGGGCTCTTTGTCATGCTAACTTAAACGAAATCCCGTGACAAGAACCCAGTTGGGAGAGTTTCGAGAATTCGGATAGATCTAGAATCTAGAAAAGTTGTCGGTGTAGCAGGCTGCATCGCTCTGAGGGTTTCATGTACGGCTGTTGGGTTCATAAGCCCCATAAACTGCGCACTCTCAGTTTCTATAAGGGATAACAATATCCCCAAAAGTGCGAAGTGTACCCACTCAGCTACTAAGGTACGGCTGTTCAGTTTCGTGATTGTCGCCTGCCAGAGGCCACTGTTCGGATCGTCCAGGCTGGACCAACCTGGGAGCTGCAGCAGGACTGCAGAATGGAATCCCCAACCCACAACTCCTAAAGGCCCTAAACCCTAAACCCTTAAGCCATAAACTCCTAACACAGGGGCCTTGATGGTCCGTTTTGGGTGAGATACTACCATAACCATAATCAAGATGACAAGCTGATATTAGTTCGTCCCTA